CACTCTCAGAAATGTAAATGTGCTTTTGGATGTCTTTTCTTTGTGAGCGCTCATTATTTGTATTGCTTCCTAAGGAGTGTGAATCGTTCAGTGATGTTATCACTCTCCTCCTAGAGCACGCCCTTTTGTTTGGACGCTTTTTAAAACGGATGAAGTCAGTGTGGGATAGTGTGGCATAGGAGTGCAGGCATTTAGGCATAGTTCGAATCTGTGTAGAGATTTTCTCTGTAAGGATACGTGACCCTCTTGAGTGTCTTCATCCGCCTGTGGTAGAAAATTAGCATCTGTTGTTGAGTCAGACCTCAGTGATGAGTGAGTTTCTGTCCCTTCACAGAGAACGATGTGAAACTTTGTTTACAAAAAGCAGAGCTGAATTTCTTTGCTGATGCGGAAGAAGGCTTCTTATATTTTCCTCCCTAGGGTCGTGTCTAGGATCCACAGAAGAGCACCAGCTGCAGGACGGAGGGGTGGACAACGGGGATAATGTACAGCTTGGATCATTATAAAGCTTTGTTCATTCTGTGAATACAGTGGCAAAAGGSTGGGCTAGTGCTGGAATGCAGTATCCATTTTGCAAATTGGAGGTACTTCTAACTCGCTTGGGAAACAGTTCCTACATGTGTCTGTGTCTTCTGGTTGCCTTCTCAGATTCCCACTTTGAGAGAACAGTATGTGTCATGCTGTTGATTCAATAAGAGACTAAAAGAAATAAACGASTTCTTGCTAAATTTCAAGTAGCATAATGGACGTGAATGTGGCTCCGGCAACACTAGACTTAAGAAGCAAATCAGGATGTGCTCTTACCAACGAACTCCAATGCCCTGTAAGTGGGGATAAACGGTATGTTTAGAGGTGGCRGTCTATTCTAGAGTCTTGAAAGTATGGGTGCAGTGTGAGAAAGCACAATGGTGCATCGTTCTAAATAACATGTGGAGGACTTGGAATCATTGTAAGAGAACAGAATGATTTCTTTATTTTATTTTTGTTTGATGGTCCAGAGTCACTGACTTTTCTTCTCTGTAGAAATATTGTCATGTCCCAGTCATGCTGGKATCTTCAGGTTTACAGTGTTGATGTGTCCAACAGTGCTTGAATGCAGTTTCTCCTCTGGCACATCTTCAAGCTGTTGTAGGACGTGAATCGATGGCTATGTCTCTTTCTGGAGGCAGCGCACACTGTGACGGTGCAGGAGAATTGCAATGCATCTACCTCACTTTCCATTAGATATCATTTCTGGGGCTACTTGTGTGTTTTTGTGTGGTTATTTGTAATTGATGGTCCGAACTCCCGGAGTTCTTATGAACAGTTGCTTCCCTATACAGATACTGTCATGGTGCCATGCATGCATCCGTCTTTACAGTGCTGAGGTGATCAATGATATTTGAATGTCATTTGTACTTTCCATTCTTCAGTCCACCCAGYTGCTTGTATGTTCTCTGGTTTCTTGATGTAAAATTTAGTTCTGTGATTATGTCCGTTTAAACTGCTCCTTACTCAAGCTGTTGCCTTTCTTAGAAGCTTTCCTAGGCTTGGGAGTTACTTCATCTTTGTTTCTGCAAGTTCCTTACTGTATTTGTTTTTTGGTGGTTTTAGTGGATTTACATTACCTAAATCGGCTGCTACCAGAGAGAGTGATTCATGGAATAAGGCATTGGAAACTGGATACCTTGGGAATANGAATTGCAATGCATCTACCTCACTTTCCATTAGATATCATTTCTGGGGCTACTTGTGTGTTTTTGTGTGGTTATTTGTAATTGATGGTCCGAACTCCCGGAGTTCTTATGAACAGTTGCTTCCCTATACAGATACTGTCATGGTGCCATGCATGCATCCGTCTTTACAGTGCTGAGGTGATCAATGATATTTGAATGTCATTTGTACTTTCCATTCTTCAGTCCACCCAGYTGCTTGTATGTTCTCTGGTTTCTTGATGTAAAATTTAGTTCTGTGATTATGTCCGTTTAAACTGCTCCTTACTCAAGCTGTTGCCTTTCTTAGAAGCTTTCCTAGGCTTGGGAGTTACTTCATCTTTGTTTCTGCAAGTTCCTTACTGTATTTGTTTTTTGGTGGTTTTAGTGGATTTACATTACCTAAATCGGCTGCTACCAGAGAGAGTGATTCATGGAATAAGGCATTGGAAACTGGATACCTTGGGAATARGAAATACATGGATAGATTTTTGTTGCTTATCTATGTTATATTTTTTTTCTTAGCCTATTTACTAGAGACACAATATTGTACGGCTTCCAAAAGGRATGTGTTCTCTCCTTTATAGCCAAAACTTGTTCATACTTTCATAGTTTGTACTACTGCAGCATATCCTGATCCAGCTATTTTAGACAAAAATAACTTACCGCGTTCTCCCAAAATACAGACTTTYTATCACTGTAAAGCATATATACAGTATCAGAGTTTAACAGAGAACCACCTGAAAGAAATGTGTGCACATAGTGGATTTGATGTTCCTTTGTTACAGTAGCTCATCCACTGAAGAATTCTCCCTCTTGCCAGATCTCCTAAAAATAAAWGACCAGGGGAATTCCACTCCCACTAATTGGCGAATATTCAGACTTAGTCTATATATTCGGTACCATGCATTTGCCTAAACTTACCTGTACTTGTCTGTGCGCCGGTGTGCTCCTTCACACCTACCTTATATGTTGTTCATCAAGACTTTTTTTATGGCTCAAGTGAGTTGACCTCCCATTCCCAGTGGAGGGGAAATGTTGCGAAAGACAGGGGCGAACTTCATATTCAGAAAGCAGCATGTCTCCATCGCGCCCGAGGTAGCCGAGGGCGCCGTTTCACATCCCCCCGATGTCAGTGCGACTGCAGTGGCGGCGCGGAGACTCCGGGTGCCGCTGTTGCCCAACGCGGAGCGGTGCCGCAGCCGGAGCCGGCGCTGTCTCAACCTTCCGCGGCTGCTCGCTCGCACAGCGCTGGGCGGGCAGCACTGGCACGGGGAGAAAAAGCCACTGAGARGGAGAGGAGGACCGAGCAGCTGGAGGCAGAGGAGGGGAACCTCCCTTCGTAGTCCCGGTATTTGTTCCCTGCCCAAACATTCTCATGCTGCCCTAGGGTATTTTGCACTCGAACAACAGAGGCGGAAGGACGGAATACATTTCGGAATACTGCAGAAGGAGAGGCAGAGGCGCTCGATGGGAACCCTTGCAGGGCTGCTGTGCGTTTGGCTGCTCTCCTGGGGCTGCCGGGCGGCGCCGGAGCGGCTGCGCTATGCRATTCCCGAGGAAACGGGCAGAGGTTCCGTGGTGGGGCCGCTGGCGCGRGACCTGGGACTAAACCCGGCAGATCTGCCCCGACGGCAGCTGCGGCTGGTCTCGGCGGCAGGAAGGCAGCTGAAATACTTCTCGGTGAGCGCGGACACGGGGCACCTGTACGTGAACGAGCGCCTGGACCGCGAGGAGATGTGCGGCGACTCGGGGTCCTGCTCGGTCAGTCTCGAGGCGGTCGTACAGAACCCGCTCAATGTTTTCCACGTCGACGTGGATATCCAGGACATCAACGACAACGCGCCGCGCTTCCTGCAAGAGAACATCCACTTAGAGATCAACGAGTTTACTTCTCCAGGAGCCCGGTTTCACTTGGGAAATGCCATTGATCCGGACGTGGGTCAAAACTCTCTTCAGGGCTACGAGCTGGAAGACAACGCGTACTTCGTAGTGGAAGTGAAAGAGAACCAGGACGGCAAGAAGTTCGCCGAGCTCGTGCTGCGCCGTGCGCTGGACCGCGAGAGCGAGCAGAGGCTTCAGCTTGTCCTGACGGCGGTGGATGGCGGCGAGCCGCGYCGCAGCGGCACCGCCCAAGTCTGGATTAACGTCACCGACGCCAACGACAACGCGCCCGTTTTCGCGCAGGACCGCTACCAGGCGAGTCTGTTCGAGGATGCACCGCTGGGAGCCTCCGTGCTGCAAGTCTCCGCCTCTGACAGCGACGACGGCACCAACGCCTATATCACCTACAGCTTCAACAAGGCGACAGCCAAGGTGCTTCGGCAMTTCGGTYTACATGCAGAGACGGGGATGATCACGCTGAAGGAGGCCCTGGACTTCGAAGAAACGAGGAGCTACACTYTGCTAGTAGAGGCGAGGGACGGGGGTGGGCTGGTAGGGCACTGCAAAGTGGAGGTGGAGGTGCT